CCCCAGACCTGGCATTTAGCAGCAGCAACCTGAGACCAGGGCCTTGACTTCCCTTGTCACCTGGTCCTAGAGATGAGCTTACAGGGCAGGAACAAGGGATCACTGTGACGTAGCAAACCCTCCTTCCCCGGTAATGGCTAGCCCTGTAGCTCCCGCCATACCTGCCCCTCCCAGTCGTGACCTCAATGCTCTGGCCCACCCCCGTCTCTGTAGATCCCCCCTCCTCCCACAGTCCTCGTTTCCCTCGGCAGGCCATCCATACCATGCGCTCTGGGATGAGAGGCAGATCCGGGCCCCCATCCACTTCTGTTTCTGCACTCAGTGGAGGGGGCTCCAGACCGCACTCTCAATCCCCTCATACATGCCGGCCAAACATTCTCCACATGCATACCCTACAATATTAAAAAATATACAGCAATATAATAAAATAGCAAAAAATGAGTTAAGTTAATTTAAAAAGTGTGGGATCACTCAATCACATACATACCACATACACTCCCCATACAGAAAAGTTGTGCAACTGTTAATAGTGTGCAAAGTTCGTGCAATGTTTGTAGGCGGGTTCGCAGAAGTTCAGACAGATGGAAGTTAGCGGAGGTATAGAGGGAGAAAAAGTTTGTCTTCCCTCTTTCTTGTGCAATAAGATGGTGTAGTAGTAGAGGGGTCCAAAAAAGTCTGTAGGGGCTGAGGTGGCGTCCCTAGGCATCGACGGGCGGCAATGGTCACACCAAATGAGACCAGGTCACAAGTCCAAAGTCCAGCAGTTGTGAGCAGGGAAGCCAGATGACAAAAGGCCCCGTAGGCATGAGGGCAAACAGAGGGAAAACAGAGGAAAGGCCGCACCACAGGGAAAGGCCGAGTCAAGTGGAACGGAGGAGGGGAGGCGTCCAAAGGGCCGTGGCAGCGGCAATAAGGCCAGCTGCCTGATCTCATACAGCGCCATACCAAGCGCTGTATGAGATCAGGCAGCTGGCCTTATTGCCACTGCCAACGCCCTTTGGATGCCCCCCCTCCTCCGTCCCACTTGACTCGGCCATACTGTTCCTCTCTGGAACAGGCCAACGCAGTCCAAAAATCCCAAAAGCGGGGGCAAAAGATGTCAGGAAATGCCAGGTACACCAAGCAATGTAAACCGCCAAAGCAGAGGGTGGGCGCCTAAGGAGGCCACGGCAGCGGTAAACAGGCCGGCTGCCTGGCCTCCTCCAGCGCCGTTCCAAATCACCTACCTCCTCTTTGATAGCGATAGTGCTCCAGCAGTCCGATGAACTCCAGGGCTCCTCCCAGTCAGAAAGAAAAACAGGACTAGGCCCATGAAAAGCCGGGAACGGCGCCACCATTTCCGTCATTTTCGCCGCCAAGCGTTGTAAAAGTTACTCCGGGTGGCCTTGTGGACCAGAGGCCATCCGACAGCGGTGACCCTCCAGAATACCACCTATTCAGGTCCCTTGGATTGCGCTCAGCTGCTGAGACCCCTTCCCGCATAGCTCCGAGCTGAGTTGCCGGTTTTCTCTGGCGTTTTTTTGCTCAACCAGACCAGAGCGAAGAAAGCCGGCGGCCATCCCGCCTCGCACATGCGCCTAGTCACGAGAAGAGCTTGGACTGAATAGAACAGAGCAAAGTAGAATAGGGTAGTTCAGGGCAGGGCAGGACAGGACAGAACAGAATGGAACTGAACCAAACAAAATAGAACAGAACATAATTTTTTATTGGCCAAGTGCAATTGGAATTTGTCTCTGGTGCATAAGCTCTCAGTGTACATACAAACTACAAATATACAGTAAATATACAATGTACATACAAACATAAGGTTTCAGTGTAAAGTACATAAGCTTTCAGTATTTTTTGCACAGTAATGCCAAAAGCAACCCACTCCTGGTCATATATGATAGATCATAGTTACAATCATAAATTATAATATACAACAAGTGCAGTGGTGGGTTCCGGATCCCGGTGCAACCGGTACGGTGCAACAGGGCCCAGTGTCCACCACATGAACGTACGCAGCGCGCACATGCATCCTTATCTCCTCCGATGGGTCTGCGAGCCTCCATGATGCTCCAGCTGCTCAATGGAGCATCGCACAGGTGCCATACACACTGTGCGCGTGCACCAAGTGCCAAAGAGCTTAAATACAGGTAAGGAAGATGG